AAGGGAGACCTGCCAAGCACATTCTCTCCCTGGGCAATCGCCATCAATGTTATATAACACAATGTTACATAAAGATTCCCAGGTCTGCAAATTACCTGACAAACCTCGTACTTTCTTAAGTAAGCACTAAAAATGTCAGTGGCATCAAATAAAAGCTGATTTCATCCGTTGGATTTCTATTAAAGCCAGTAGAAATGATTTATTGATTTTTAAAGAAAAACATATTTTTAAATGCTTTTTTTTTGTTTTGTTTTTTTTACAAGCGACTTGTTAGTAGATGTGGAGTTCTCATATACCCCAAATGCACCTGTAGTTACAAAATATTAACAGTATTGAGGAAAATCAATAGAATAATCAGAAAACTCATGAAAAGATGAACAAAGAGCAGAATAATCCCACATCTTATAGTTAGTGGTGGTTTTTTTTGTTTTTTTTTTTTTTTATGTTCCAAGTTTCCAACTTGTTCACTTGGGTCCAGATGTTTCTTAATGTTTTGGTTTGTTTTATTTTAAAAACTGAAACTAAGACACATACATGAAGAATACATTCTGAACACAGCTAACTCAGGAACTCAAAGTAGTGGGTATTACACAGAAACTCAAACCTGGACTGCGGGTGTGTGAAGAGCGCTTGCACGTTTTCTGTACAGCCTGTGTGATGACATCATTGCCATCATGCTTGTCAGTGTGTTCCATGCACACTTTCCAGGTGGAAGTGTGTGTGGAGTTGAACACATGGAACAAATTTTTTCCTCCCAACAGACTTCTTTTTGTCAGGCAAGAAGGTACATGCAGCTTGCCTTTCTCTTTTTGACTCGGTTGCTGGGAAGCTCCTAGCTATAGCTCTCAGCCCAGGGTTTCTTTCTGTTCCATGCCACCTCTTCATTTCATTAGATGATTTGAAAGAAAATCTTAGAGCATCTGTGTTTTTCATTGAAACAGCTTAAAAACCTCTAGAGAGGTTGAAAATAATAACATCAAAGAACTATAGTTTATCACAGGACTGTAAAAGTAAGCAGATGTGAATACTGGATTGCCAAGTTCCCACTGTAGAAGGAAAGTTACCAAGGTGGCAACACTTATGCCTTTTCCTAGTATTGTGGAGGATAGATATATATATGCAGTAAAACCTTGGATCACGAGTAACTTGGTCTGCAAGTGTTCCACAAGACAAGCAAACGTTTCTAATACATTTTAATGTGGTAAACGAGCGATGTTTTGCATATGTGTCATTTGTTTCTGGAACAAATTATGCTTGCAAACCAAGGTATTAATATATATATATATTTTTTTTCCTACCTATGACCTTTTTACTAGATAGGGCAGGTAAGCAGTCCATAAGAATTTGTGTGTAGTGACTTTACAAGTTATTATTATTATAAAATAGTATTATAACATTATATAGTAATATCATATAACATGTATATTATTATTTACATAGTAATCCATAATTGGTAAGTCATCTCAAAGTATTGTGCCACCTGCCACCAATGTGGGTTATAGAAGCAGGAAGCTGTCCCACAACTTGAGTACCTGAGACTCCTTTTCCATATGCCTGTCCTCAGTTTCACCTGATGTATGGAACTCATTTCCGGTAACTGATTATTAAAATATTGAAGTTATCAGGAGTCACTGACTCTAAGCGGTTCTCAACCTGTGGGTCACGGCCCCTTTGGTGGTCAAACGACCCTTTCACAGGGGTCGCCTAAGACCATCAGAAAACAAAAAGATGTTTACATTACGGTTCATAACAGTAGCAAAATTACAGTTATAGAGTAGCAACAAAAATAATTCTATGGTTGGGGGTCACCACAACATGAGGAACTGTATTAAGGGGTCGCGGCGTTAGGAAGGTTGAGAACCGCTGCTCTAAGCAGAGGAAATGTTTCGTGAAAGCAACATTAGAGATGCTAAGACGCTGGCGTAGCCAAACGGAAACCTGTGTTCTGGCTCCCGATACGTCATTAATGTTTTTTAAAAACTAAAACATAAAATAGTCCTGAGTGTCTAGGCCCACACGTGGTACAGAGAATTTTATATGAACTTCACACAGTGGTGCTGTGACAAAGAGCAGCGAAAGAGGATCTGGGTCGAGAACCAGTTCGGCATGGGCCAGCTGTGTGGCTTCTCTGGGCCTTGTTTCTTCATCAGAAAAGGAGGGGCCGAATCTAGAGAATTTCAGTGAGTCTCACAGTTGAACAAGAACGCAAATTTCTTTGTTGAAATTTGACTAAATGGAGACCCTAACGGTATCCCCCAGGTGTGCAGCTCATGCGTGATGCTCAGTCTGAGTTTAGCCCAGAGACCTTGAAATGCGAGGGTTGTCTTTCCACGACCAATTCACTTTGGGTTGGGACACTTAATGGGTGCTTAGTAAAAGATCTCTCGTTTATGACAGTGTTCTTTTGACCCACGGCCAGCTGGATATGCACTTTACGTAGTTTTTCTTTTTCCTATGAGAAGTAGGGTTGGATCTAGGTGGAGCCATCCACACTGTCCTTCTTTGTCCTCTTCCGATGGGTGACGTAGATGCCAGGGCGACGGTAGCCTAGTGGTTAAGAATGGAGGCTCTGCAGTGGGTGCCATTTTGTTCTCATTTCAGTCCTATTCATATGCAACCTTGGACAAGTTATTTTGGTTTTTTTGTGTTTTTTTTTTAGTCTCTGTGCCTTAGTCTTTTCAAATGTAAAATGGGGAAAATATAAAGTAGTAAAATAATTTACCTCTTAGTGTTCAAAATGTAGACCAGCAGAACAAAGGTCTGATAGATACATAGTAAACCCTGTAATGGACAGCTATTCTCATTTTATTCCTGCATCCTATGGAGAAAGAACCTATGGCCTGTTTCTCATCATAAGCCTGTGGTGACCATCTAAAAGGAGACTTGAGGAGGGAGAGTGGAAGGTGCTCCTGGAAACCTCTGTGTAAGCAGGTGGTGTGTAAACCATTCCTCAGGGATGGATGTGTACGCCACTCTTCCAGCTATTTAGGGAATAAAATTACCTCTCGCTCTCGGTAGCCTCAGTCAGCGTCTGACAACTTTCCTCACCCAAGGAATTATTCTTTCTGTGTGGCTTAATTACCTATTGTCGCAGTTTAAATTCAGGGTGAAGGAAAGGAGAGTGACTCTGACTCTGAGATACGGGGTCTGCCGAAAAATGGTCGGGTTGGACTCAAGCGTTCACTCTCAGCCAACTGGTGCAGGGCCCCGCTATGCCCCGTCGAGGCGCCCCAGGGGTTGTTTGTGCATGTCCGCAGGGCTGCTAGAAAGGACGGTGGATGGCTCTGGTCTGTCACCCTGGCTGTGACCTGAGCAGCTTCATAATTACACTTTTTCTGTACGTGCACAAGAGGCTTCAGCAGGAGAAAGAGTTCCACAGACACAAGAAAAATGTGAAAGCCTGGAGGCCAGTGTACTCGTTCGTACATCTCCAATAAGCCACCTGACATGACCTTTCACTTGGCATCTGAGGCTGTTGCTTCTTGTCTCAGCTCCTCTGTGCTGCCTGTTTGAAAGCGGCAAAATCGTGTGTGTGTGTGTGTGTGTGTGTGTGTACGCGCACGCACGCACGTGTGCATGCCCCCAGGTGCTCCTTTGCTCACAGTGATGGTGGGAGAGGAAAGGTAAGTGGGACGATTCACAGGGAGAGGAACTTTATAAATCCAAGGCATAATTATTATGAGACTGGTAAAAGTCCCCTTTAGTGAGCCGACGGGAATAATCTTGACCCAGCCTTGTGTGGGTGGCCTCTGGGAATTAATAGGGGGTTTTCATCTCAAGCTTATATGCTGGCGTGGCAGTGATTGAAGCCTGAGGTTGAGAGAAGAACCATTTGGCACACCCTCACCTAATGAAATAGGCTTGGAGGGATATTGACCAAAATAAAGGGAGTGAATACAGGTGGTGCGCGGGAGATTGATGTATGCTGAGCGCTGTGCTGCTAGCAATGGGCTGGCAAGGCGTCCCCTCGCAGCCCTGCCATGGGTGGATGTCCGGGTGAGATGCTCGGTCCCGCCGAGCACTGCAGTCTCACCTCTGACAAACTGAGTGCTGTCCCAGTTTTTAAGGAATGGCTTCGGAGAATGGCCTTGGAGCATGAGAAGGTTCCAAAGAAAATTCCCCTGCCAGCCTGAGTCCAGGCCATGGGTCTCCCATCTCGTCCCTAGAGATGCAACAAGAATGGAAGCATTCCTCAGGACGGTGTGGGTGGGAGAAAGCTGTCTCCTAAAGCAGTGGTGACCCAAAACTCATGTCACATGGTGAGGCTCCTCTGCACACTTGGTTGTACATTCCTGATGGATATAGACCTCTCTGGATTGGTCCATGGTTTTCCCTAGCTGGGGCAGCGACTTTGATGGAGATCTTTAAGGCTAGGCTGAGGACAGCTTTGATCCCATGGGATACACTCTGTTGGGCATTTTGCATAGTTACTTAACTTAATCCTGAACACCACCCTTCATCATCAACCTTTTCCATCATACAGACGAGCAACCTGAGATTTCTAATTTGGAGGACTTACCGATCACTGGTAGAGCCAGAGCTAGAATCTATACATGATTGATTTTAGATATGGGAGAGGAAAAAAACCAGATGCCACCCTGCTGGTAAAAACTGGCCTGCAAGTAGCTTTATGTGGAGCTGGTTGGCCTTAACAAACTAATCCTCTCCCTTGTTTCTGCAACTGAAGTAACACACACACACACACACACACACACACACACACACAGCACACACACAGACTTCTTTCTTCTTCAAATTGTTTACTAAGCCAGAAGCAACTGTGGATCACTTGAAATGATGCACTGGTCACCCCAGCTCCATTTTTCCTTCACCTTAAACACAGATCATGGCACACTGTCCCTTTGCTGCTGAGTGGTGCTTGTTATAAGCGCTTCCTGCCCCTGAATGAATGAATGAATGAGTGAAGGATGGGGGTAGCAGAGGGCCGATGCCCGTTGGTGGGACGAGCTCACCATCCATCTGCTGTCCTCTCTCCCCAGGGTGGCATGATCGCGCTGCTTCTGTCCATCCTGTGCCTGGTGATGATCCTGTACACTCGCCGCCGCTGGTGCAAGCGCCGCCGGGTCCCGCAGCCCCAGAAGAGCGCCAGCGCTGAGGCAGCCAATGAGATTCACTACATCCCTTCTGTGCTGATTGGCGGGCACGGGCGGGAGAGTCTGCGCAACGCCCGCGTGCAGGGCCACAACTCCAGCGGCACCCTGAGCATCCGGGAGACACCCATCCTGGATGGCTACGAGTATGACATCACTGACCTACGCCACCACCTCCAGCGGGAGTGCATGAACGGAGGGGAGGACTTTGCCAGCCAGGTCACTCGCACCCTGGACTCCCTGCAGGGCTGCAATGAGAAGACAGGGATGGACCTCACGCCAGGTGGGCCATTGGGTCTTCTTCACGGGGG